AAAATTAAATCATTTAAAATGTCAACCTTTATTCTATTATGTTCTTACCCTCAGATTTAACCCTGTAGAGCTTGAACGATGGAATAATTGTCAGAAATTTTATTTTTTTAAACAAGAGAAAATGTAAAATTCTGAGAGATGAATAAAATCCATAAGTTACAATGTTTAATCATTTCAATGCTATAATTGATCTTTTAAATTCAATTCAGTTGATTTATATAGCTCCAATTCACAACACATGTCATCTCAAGACAATCTACATTTCACCAGATTAACCAGTCAAATAATTAATTCAAAGTTTTCTATCTAATTAAAACCAGTTGATTGAATCGACACATCGACTCAAAGGCACTCCCTCACACTAAGCATAAGTGTAGCCAGTAGACTGGAAAAACTCCCTTTTAACAGGAAGAAACCTCCCACAGAACCAGTCTCAGTGTGAGAGGCCATCTGCTGAGGTCGACTGGGGTTCAAGGAGACAGAAGCAATAGATAGAAAAAGAAGCAGAGATACAAAAGGCAACTGTCAACCAGCTAAAAAGGCGGCCAAGTCAAGGGAACACACAGCCAGGACGAAGAGCTCCAAGTGCACATCTAGCCAGTCACAGTCAGAGAAACAGGACTACACACTACTACACAGGAACAGACCAGATGAAGCTACTATGAGAAAAAGCAGAGAGAGCAGAAGGTTAGAGATTGAACTAACAGATTCTGTTGAGTGGGAGAAAAGAGATAGAATGAAGCAGAAGAAAAAAGGAGTCCCTATGTCCTCCAGCAATCTAAGCCCATAGCAGCATAACTATAGAGATAGCTCAGGATAACCTGAGCCTCTCTAACTATGAGCTTTATCAAAAAAGAAAGTTTTAAGCCTACCATAAAAGTAGACAGGGTTTCTGCCTCATGGCCTATCATTTGTATCATTTATAAAACACTAGGCATTTCCATGCAATTAATTATGCATTTTCTAATTTCGACATGTCATTAAAGAAAAATATATACATACTGTACTGATTACATAAAAAAGCAACGGTATCAAATGTATTTCAAATGACAAGACAGGGTTAATAGTGTGAGGCTTTTTTCTTTTTTTTTTAGAAATTCAATAGATAGTGATAGATAGAACTATCTTTTGTGTAATTTATAAAACACTAAACATTTCCATACAATTAATTTTGCATTGTCTAATTTCGACATGTCATTAAAGAAAAATAAATAAAATCCAAATGACAATACAGGGTAAATAGTGTGACGCTGCTCTTTAGAAATTATTCTGATAGTGACAAATGGACATTGTACTATCCGTGTGATGTTAAACAGCGTCTTTCTTCTGTAGTCCAAGGTCTCGATCATCAACTAGTTTTGCCCACCCCCGACCATGGGAAAAGTGAAAGGCCTGTTTTGTTAGCTGTGCTCCAGTGCTTGTGTTCGGGGGGGATCTTCAGAATTCCATATGGGATCATGGGGTTGGAACACTGAGCTGGAGCTGACTTCTCTTTTCCTCCTATTAGACAAATGATGATCCTTCACAGCCTGGGTTGAGATGATGATGGTGTAATCGGAGAAAAACTCAGGAGCAGAGGTGCCTGACCAGTTTGCAGGCAATGATGGATATATGCTGTCCCTTCCACACAGGAACCAGCCACCCTTCGTAGGAAGTTAACTTTTGGTTTCCAAGTAGAATAGCTGGTGTGCTTTTGATTAGGGAGGGTGTTGCAGACAAAGTCAGGGTGGAAGTCAGTGATGGTACTCTGGCATCCTGTTATATGTACTACCTTCTCTGTGTCGTTCTCTCTAGATGAGCCAATACACCCTGGATGTGTCATTCCTTAACAGCCTTCATCTTGGTGGGATAACCTGTAACATTTCTGTTAGAAATAACCTACGTTTTGCCTGTTAAGGTTACCATGCCTCAGAGTTCCCATTGTTTTGCAAAGAAAAAGATAGTCGAAAATGCATACCAACTATTTTTATATATTGTCACATCGCGTCCTCTTGTCAGTTCACAAGCCCTTATTAATGCAATTAATTCAACTGCCTGTGCTGAATGATATGACTGAATTTCCTCCTTCGCTTCAACTATATTATGGGGGAGTGACACGACGGCATGACCTGTTTTCATTTTTACTAAATCATCTTTAAAACAAGAGCCATCAACAAAAAACACTTCCCCTGTCAGCAATAGAACATGTTAGGTCTGGTCCCAGGAGTTGCAGCTGGTCTGTCTCTGTCTTACAATCATGTGGTTCTTTCTCATCAGCAGTTGGGATTAATGTAGCTGGGTTTAACGCTGCACATCTTTGTATTTTCAGATGAGGTTGTGACAAAAGTTTAGCTGTATATGACAACTGGCGTGCTGGTGAAACTGCTAAACAGGCAGCAGCAGGACAATTATGGCTCCTCTGATGTTTACTTAGAGCAAGAAACAGAACAAATCATCGATCTAGAAGAGTTATCAAACAGACAAGAAACAGCGCCAACTAAAGAAAAACAAATGTAGGTAAAAAATGGAGCAACCGTGAATCTAGAAGGACTCTATGCAGTTTGTAACAAACCAGTTCTCCCTAAAAGCTTATTTCAAGCAGCAGTTATCTTGAGCCATGGGCCTTACCTTGTCTCAACCGGAGGGATAGTAACTTTAATATAGAGACATTTGGATTTTTCAAAACGTTTTTTGAACTCGGCCACGTCTTCTCCTATTTCTTGTTTTGTCTAAAAGTCCATAAATGTCCATCATCCGCCACTGTAGAGAAAAATGCAGGCCCTGCGGGTTTTTTTTTGTTGTTGTTCTTTTTTTAAGTGTCCTGTCTGACAATGTGTCAATAAGAATAATTGTCTTGATGCCAAAAAGAACCCAACAGATTTCACTTTCACAAGTGGAGCAGTGCAGCTATCGCCATAGTGTTCCAATCCTTGTTGTCCTAGAAATGAAACAACACAAACGCAGTTACTTTTCTGCAGAAGACGAAAGCGTACCTCCTCACCCATCCAGATCATGGAACCAGGTGTTCCAATCACTCCCACGATCACAGGTGGACTAAATCAAGCATTAATGAGAGGATTGATCGCTCTCAGGAAGCTCAGTGAATTGCAACATTGATACGTGTCAGGTGATTTCAACTGTCCAACAAAACCGGTGGAGAAATTTCATCATAGTTGACTGTCAGCTGCATCATTAAAAAATGGAAGGGTTTGGGAACAGCGGCAACGCAGTCAACAGGTGGTTGTCCACACAAACTAATGGAGCCAGATCAGCAATGGTGAATCTCTTTGTGAGATTCACCATTGCTGGTCTCCAACTTTCTGCAGACTCAATCACTAAACGCCTCTAAACCTCATGCGTCCTTCAAACCAGCTCCATCATGGGATGAGTTTCTATGGTGGAGCTGCCAAACATCCCCATCTGCAAAAGGCTGGATGCAGTGGAGTAAAGCAGTTGCCTCTGGACACCAGCGCAGTCGAGACGCATTCTCTGGAGTGAAGAATTCCGCTTCTCCCACTCTGGGTTTGGATGTTGTCCAGGGAACAGGAGCTTGTCTGACTGTATTGTGGTGGAGGGGGGCTCATGGTGTGGGGTTGGTTCTCAGGAGCTTGGCTTGGCCCCTTAGTTCCAGTGAAAGGAACTAAGACATTCTGGATCATTCCATGATCCCAGCTTTGTGGGAGCAGTTTGGATCTGGATCCTTCCTCTTCCAACATGGCACAGAGCAAAGTCCTTAAAGACATGGATGGCAGAGTCTAGTTTGATGAACTGGACTGGCCTGCATAGGGTCATGACCTAAACCCAATAGAACACCTTTGAGGTGAATTAGAGGAAAACTGAGGGCCAGACCTTCCAGGATGTGACCTCCCAAATGTGCTACTGAAAAAATGGTAAAAAAAAATTACCATCAACACTACGGCTAATGGACAGCTTGCTCAGGATAGCTGCAAGGGGTGGACCGGCATCATTGAACCCCATGGGTCAGGACAGCAATGTGACTGAAGCTCACTGAGATGAGGAGGGGAACGAATACTTTGTCCAGTATACTGTAATTTAAATACAATTAATAGATATAAACAACAAAATATTCTTGAAGCCTGTAACACAGCTTGCAAGTTATACTCACAGCTTACTGAAAAAATGTATGTTTTATCAGGATGCTGTGAATCCAGAAGCTCCCGTCCTGCTTTTCCCCCAATCTAGTGGAGGGCTGAAGAGGAGGAAGAGAGACTGGGTTATCCCTCCATTAAGTGTTCCTGAGAATCACGGAGGACCATATCCTTTTAAGATTAATCAGGTGAGACCAACTGAACCTAAAAATGGCATCCAGTTGATTTTTTTTTTTCATACCATTTTTTTTTTAAGGTGTATTCAGATTTTTTTTTCTCTTCTGCCATGGGTGAGTTTACCAAAGCTGAATTCTGCTCCCTTCCATAAATAAATAGTTAGCAGATGTTTTGGTCTGTTATTTAACATTAGTAATGTTAATAAAATACTTTAGCCAGGCAGCTGTTTTAGGTCACAGTTAGTCCTAGCTGTTAGGGCTGTCACCTGTATTAATGTCTCCCTTTAAGTTATTTTCTTGTTTTGAAAATTTTATCATTCATTTTTCATTCTGTTCAGATACGCTCTAGTGAAGACAGCATAAAGACGATCCATTACAGCATCACTGGTCCAGGAGCAGATCAGCCTCCCATTGATCTTTTCACCATGGACAGGGAGACTGGTAATCTGTATGTCACACAGGAACTGGACAGAGAGAAACAGGCGGAATACAAGGTAACTATTTTTTTTTTTTAGTGCTACTATGAAAGATGAATAGATTTTCTGTAACAATGTTGATATTTTCAACATTGTTACAGAAGTCCTCCCTCCGCTGAGTATCAATACTCAGATCAAAACATGATTAATATAAATGTTTAGTCACCTGTGATGAAATCAATTAAACAGAGTTATTGTAATTAATAACTATGGACCCACAAGCTGTATTTGTGAATAAAATGAAATGTTCATTCCTATAGATCTGGGCTCATGCTGTGGCAAAGGGAAGTTCTGGAAATGCAGAAGATCCTATGGAAATGATAATCAAAGTGATCGACCAGAATGACAACAGACCAATTTTTAATCAGACTACCTACATGGCAGAAGTACCTGAAAACTCACCAAGAGGTAGGTCACTGGTTTCAGCTACTGAAAAAAAAAGAGAAGGCTGGGACATTTTAGCCAAAAAAATTGATTCTTTACAAAGTATACCATTCTAAGCAATGTTTTATGAAACTTGAAGCTTGGTTCTGTCTCTGACTTTTACATAAATATTTAGAAGTTCTCCCCTAGGTGGAATAATACTTCTGTTTTTTTTTCTATACTATACATTTTATAGTATACCTTTTAATCAAACATTTTGAATTAGGTTTCTGTTTGTATTTTTTGTTCAGCTAAATTACCTCTGCGGTGCAACAGGTTAAAAGTTTGCACTCAGGTTACTGGTATAACAACATCTTAAAATTTTATTTTGTCCTGCAATCTTCTTTACTGTTTTTTTTTTTTGCAACCCAGCTGGGATTGTAGTGGTCGAAGGTTGTTAGAAAAGTTCATGATAAACTCACACCATGGGTGTCTCTGTCTGGGAAAGAAATAGTTAATCAGACCAGCTCTGAGCCAGTTTTCTTTCTTTTTTTTTTTTTTTTTAACAGTGTCCTGTCTGGCAGTGTTGCAGTAAGAATAATTGTCTTGATGCCAAAAAGAGCCCACCAGATTTTACTTACACAAATGGAGCAGTAGGGCTATCGCCATAATGTTCCGCTTGTTTCATGCATAAAAATTGCTTTATTATAATTATACAGGGAGTTTTACAGATTATATGGACACTGCAATGTAAGTAGAATAGAAAAACAGAAAAAGAGGAGAAAAGATGAAAGGAAGAGGAGATAGAAAGGAGATAATGATAAAACATTTTCAGTCTGCTTCATCACCTGCAACGAGATGTAAAAAGAACAGCACAACCGAAAGACATGGCACGAGACATACAATAAAGCAACACCTTGAAACTATCACTGAAGTAGTATTATTTAGTCTGACATGTGCTCTGTGTTACCTGATGATAAGAATGTGGGCTTTCTGTATGGAAGTAAATTTCTAAGTACCTGGAACCAAGCACCTGTAGTTGTTTGTGAGGGTGTACTTGTGCATGTAAAGTTTATTCAAAGAAAAAATGCTCAATAGTGGTTGTGGAGAGTCAAAGAGGCATCCCCCCCAGAGCATTGAGTCGTGCGCCGGGAGACCCAGAGCCCCAGATGCCCAAAGGGACCCCAAGAGCGAAGGCACCAAGGAGGGGCCAGCCCAGGAAATCCGACCCCCACCAAGGCAGGAGGAGAGTCGGCCCCGAGGAAGTCCCCCAGCCACCACAATGCCAGAGCCCCTGGGAGCCATGGGGACGAGTCCGCGGGCTCCGCCGGCAGCCAGCCACCCTGAAGTGAATCCGGCCCTGGGCCCCAAGGATTCGAGGCCCTAGGGGTGCCCAACCCCCCGGCAGGCGCCCCAGCCAGGCCCCGGCTGGCCGGGCCCCGCGGAGAGGCTGCCAGGAATGAGCCAGCACATTCACACATAACACTCACATCCAGTGATACCAGGACCCAGCGTCACTGTTGTCACCGCCACACGAACCCATCTCGTTCCTGCTTCAAGCCTGGCCACCCAACCCGCACCCGGACCAGACCACCCCCAGCAAAAGCTCCCCCGGGGTCGGGGCCCACATGCAGTATGGAAGTGAATGTGAGACCACCTACCCAGAGCCCACCACCCCCCCACCCCCAAGTAGTTCAACTAGCCACTACATGCCCCTCCCTCCAATCTTCTTATGGGGAGAGCAGAGGTGACAGGCCCCACAGCAGCCCCCCACCAAGACCACAGACCAGGCGGCTCGCTCTTCCTCCAGGCCCCAGACTCCGGGCAGCAACCAGAGAACAGGTGTGTGAGAAGACCCCGATCCTCCCTACGCCTGCTTGAATGTGGTGTTGTTGCATGTTGCTGTCAGGTGTAATTAAAACTGGGAGTACCAAAAGGGGGTGTCCAGCACCGTCCACCCCCCTCGGGGAGATAGGCGGTGCCAGCGCACCCCCCCATTCGACAACCCAGAACCCTCAATGTCTAAATGCGATAGGGGATGGGGGGGGTGACCGTAGTGAGGCCCGTAAAATAAGCCCCCCCTGGGTGCTGTTGACCCCCACCCCCCAGAAAATGCCCTACATAGATGTGTGTTGTGAAAATGTTGTAGATGGAAGTGTCTAAGATGCAAAATTAAATTGGGGTGGGGGACATCATCAGAAGGTGGGGCCCCTTCAGTAACGACCCCCTCCCAGAAAAACTACATGTGTGGCAGTGTGATGCAGCAGGCAGAGGGAGAAATCCGGGGATGGGGAGCAAAGGACTGGGGTGCTTACTGCACTTCCAGGGAGCCAGCTCCCCCACTGACTCCAATAGGCACCCCCGTTCCCGAGAGCCCCGCCAGGGACCGTAGGCAGGACCCACAAACCAGACAGCCACAGGGCCGACGAAACCCCCCAATCATGTCCATCCAAAAAAAAACAAAAAACAGAGCCAGTTTTAATGTCAAAGGGATGAAAGACAGCTGATCAGTTAGTCACAGTAAACGCTGAGCTCATAGCTATATCTAGGAGAGAAACAGGACTAAACACTAAAAAAACAGGCAAAGGTCCAACATCTCTAAACAAAGGTGTTGATGGCAGCAGAACAGCTGATATTTCTTTCCAGGATGGAGTCACATTCAAACAGGAACAGACCAGATGAAGCTACTATGAGAAAAAGCAGAGAGAGCAGAACGTTAGAGATTGAACTAATAAATATGACAGAATGGGAGAATAGAGACAGAATGAAACAGATTGATTCTTTGTCTTCCAGCAGCCTAAGCCTATAGTAGCATAACTATAATGATACGTCAGAAAAATCTGAGGCACTCTAACTATAACCGTTATAAAAAAGGAAAGTTTAAAGTTTAATCTTTTTATGAATATCTACTTTTGAAACAACAGAGATGCATTTTTTTATTTTAAACAGTTTTAAATGTAATTTTCCATTCCATGCTTTTAAATTAATTTTTAAATTAATTTTTAAAAGCATTATAAGACACTTTAAGTACGACATATGGATAGTTGAGTGTAATTGATACAGTTAAATAAGCGGGACAATGTTTCTTTTTTTTATTGACCTGAATTTTGTTTTCTCTCGATCAGGTTTTGACGTTATTCAGGTTTTCGCCACAGACGCCGATGAGCCTAATAATGACAACTCTGATATCCGCTACGGTATTATGGAACAGGTGCCAGAAGAACCATCGCCTGACATGTTTACTATCAACTCTGTTACTGGAGCCATCAGAGTTAATGCTGCTAAGCTGGACAGAGAGGTGAGATTCCTGATAGTTTTGACCCATCTGCTTGAAAGCAGAATTATGTTACTATCAACATGTTTAGTTTTATTTATTAGATGCCAAGGTTTATGGAGATGAGTTGAAATTCAAAAACAGAACTTATTCTTAAGTTTCTTAGTTTAATAATCTGATGTTTTGGTAAAGCAACCTTTGACTCAGAAGTTTAATCAATCAGTGTTCAGACTCACTGATCTTACGCTTTCTTTTTGCCCACTGAGCAAAAATTGGTGGAAAAGACATTAACGTGATTTACGTCCAAGCAATATCCACATTTGGTTGAAAAGTCCAAAGGGAAAGGCTGTAATTTTCAAATTGTTATTAAGATGTTGAAAACTGGTTTTGTAACGTTTCAACATCTATTATTGGACTAAAGTGGAACAAAATCAGACTGACCAAACACAGACACATTTTCAACAATGATTTTACACTAATCTAAATCAACTAAATCAAGACAATGATTGAATGATTGAACCCACCAGATTTAGCCTAAAAACCAATGTTGTAAATGACATCTGGTGTTTGGGGGGCATCATGACACAAAATCTCGGCAACAAACACTAGTTTCTAGCTACAGTAGCTGGAGCTGTGAACAAACTCTGGATCTCTCCTCCTTTGACCAGCAGATTATTAGCTCACTTTTGATTTGGCTTAGAAAACAGGCAAATTGAACCTGATGAGCGGGTCCACAACTTTGGAACGGGGGTCGTTTGGTTTCTTTGTTAGCCTGAAACCTTTCTAAGCCAAAAAAAGGCTTTGTTGGTGCAATCTATAAAGCCTCGAACTTAATGCTATTTCTGACATTTTGAATTAAAAATGCTTCCTGGATGGGAAAAGAAACATCTTCAAACTTGGAAACAAAGTCCAGTGGATTGTTTTTTCTTACTTTTTTGTACTGACTATGACCTGGATGACTAAGAATCTACACCAGCATACGTTTCTCTAACGTTCAGTCACCTTTGTTAAGAGATAAGAAGACTTAGACTAAGACTCAAGAATGTAAAAATTAATAAAAATGTAGGCAAGCAAGGAGGGAGGGAGAGATGCATCTGAGCAGGCAGAGTAGAAGAGGTGATTACTTTCTATAAAGTTATTCATAGATGGAAGGCTGTAAAGGTACACAAAAATAATCTTTTATTTCTACCCATAGTTTTATTCTTAACTAAGTTTGGAATTTTTCATTCAAGTGAAAAAACCAAATATGCACAAGATGTTTATATTTATCTAGGCAAGTTTTTTTATTTAGAATATTTCGGTAGCAAGACAACTCAAAATGCTCTACAGGAACAAAACTTAATGTGAATTAACAAAGAAAATTACATTGAAGTGAAATGGTAGGAGATTAAATTGTAAACAATAACATTTGTTAATGTCTTTGTCTGCTGAAGGAAGTGATGCTCTTTGCTTTGTTACTTAAAGTCATCATTTCATCCAACAGATGTACCCTGAGTACACACTGAAAGTAAGCGCCACCGACCAAAAAGGAAAATACCATACTGGCATCGGCAAAGTGATTATCAAGGTGACGGACAGCAACGATCATGCTCCAGTTTTTACCGAGGCATCTGTAAGTACAACACGCACACAGGAATGCAGTAGTTTTTAAACTGACCAGTTTTTAATGGATCGCCTCTCTTTAAAGTCTGTAATAATTAATTGTATTATTTAATTTAAAAACATTTCATTAACAAGAAATAGATTCCTTTTCTTATGAGTCTTTGTCCCGATATTGAATCCCCCCCATCCTCTTCATTTCCTCAGTACACAGCAACAGTTGACGAGAATAAAGTAGATGCTGAAGTTGTTCGGATGTTGGTGACAGACGGTGATGAGCCACGTTCTTCCGCCTGGAATGCAAAGTTCACAATCGTTGATGGAGATCCTGGGAATCTTTTTACCGTGAAAACAGGAAGTAACAAACAAGAAGGAATCATTACTACTGCAAAGGTAGGCGGAGCAGCTTCTTTTTTTTTTTTGGAATCAAGTTTTATATGGTCACATTAAAAATATATATATATGAAAAATGATGGTGAAAGAAGTTATTACATCAGTTGAGGTCCAGCCTGAGCCATTAATGCCTGAAGACATATAATTTTTTTCTTCTATTAACAGGGTCTGGAGTTTGAGAAAGCCAGTAAGCACACTCTACTGGTTGCAGTGGAGAATGAGATTCCTTTTGCTACTGCATTGCCCACTTCCACTGCCACAGTGGTGGTGACTGTGAGAGACGTCAATGATCCCCTGATACTTCAATCAAACCTAAAAACGTAAATCTAAATCCAGTCTCTCACTTTGTGTCATTACAACCAATGAAACAATTAGAAATATTAACTCTATGCATAATATTGTAGGGGGAACTATGAACAAAATAAATATTTAAAAAACATGTACTAATGATGAACATTAATGATGATTAACTGCATCTAAACCATTTTTATGAAAGGTAGATAGATAATTAATTAAGTCATTAAGCCCACTAAGTCAACAGGGTAATTTTTATTTCAGTTTTTTTTTTATGCACTTATACTTGTTTTTAATTCAGTGTCCTTCCAAAGTAAGAAGGTACCATAATGCACTGCATTTTCTTTTTTTTTTTTTTAAGATTTGTTTTATAAGCTTTTACAAGAGATTTATGGTGTATAGCAAGCAAGTCATACTGAAATTTTTATTTTATAAAGCAAACTTATTGATATATAGTCTTACAGACACACCATACAAGGAAGATGATTTTTGATTTTTAACACCAAAAGAAAACAAAGAAACAAAATATAACACAAACTTTTCCCCTCCCACCCCCCACCCTCCTTTCTCGTATGGTTCTCAAAATCCTTTCATTTCTGCACAAAACACATCCATCTGAGCGCATTCATCTCTGTATAATTCAACACACTACTTCTATCAAGGTACATAAGAGAGGAAGTTATATAAGATGAACCTGCAAAAGGGATAATTTGAAGCCTGTCCAGAAAGGGACACTCCACCATAGACAGACGCGTCCAGAGAGGGCAGAATGTCTATGATTGGGCACAGATTTTTTCAAAGATTGCATGTTTTCCTCTAACATTATACAGTATCTTTTTTAGGTGTGCAGTAAGATACAAGCTCATTGATCCAGTGTCTTACTGACGGGGCATTTTCAGATTTCCAGTTAACCAGGATACATTTCTTCACTGCAGTGCTTGAAAGTAAAAAAAAAAAAAAAGTATTTCTTGTCATAATTATTGTCTTTGAGAATCCATAGTTTTGGGTCTTGTTCAATTCGCATTCCTGTTACCCTTGAAGTTATCACAATGACACATTTCCAAAGTCCTTTCATCACTGGCCAACTCCATAGCATGTGTATAAGATCCCCATCAGTCACTTTACATCTCTGACACATAGAGGAAATTTTACTGTCAATTCTGTGCAGCCTGTAAAGAGTGTGATATGTCCTATGAAATATATTAAAATTAATTTCTCTGCGTTTTGTGGAGGTTAGCACAGTCTGTGCCTGTTACGATAGATGATGCCACTCTGCCTCCTCATAAATACACTCTAAGTCTTTTTCCCATTTCCTTTTTGTAACTGTTTTATCGTAAGTGAATAACTTTCCATTGATGATACCATATATAGAAGATTTTATTCCTTTTGTTGATGTGCATGATTCATTACATAGGTGGCTTTCAAGAGGAGTTTCTTATGGGTTGCCTGGGAATGTTTCTTTTGATTTCTCTTTAACCCAGTCTCTGATTTGTAAAGATTTGAAGAAACTATCTTTGTTGAGCTTAAATTTTTCATTTAACTGATGAAAATTGGAAAATATATCATTAATGTATAAATCAGCAACTGTTTGGATTCCTCTACCTCTCCACTGCCGCAACGCTGAGTCAGCAATGTGATGTGAGAGGCTCGGATTACCCCACAAAGGTGCTCTTCTAAGAAAGGAGAGGTTTGTGCTAAGAAGTGAATGAGATTCTTGCCAAGCAGTAAATGTATTAATTTTTATTGGGCTGTTTGATAATGTGGCTAAACATTTCTTCGTACAACAGGGCAAGTTAAAAAAAGCCTAGGTCCAGGTCTTAAGTCCACTGATGTTAGAGTTAGGGCTCTCCTCTTCCATTTTAGATGTGATTAATCTATCTCTGTTAAAGGGATATGTATTAAAGGCTTTTAAGGTTGCTGTAATTAAACCTTTACTTAAAAAAACTGTCTCTTGACCCAGATGACTTGGTCAATTATAGACCTATATCCAATCTCCTTTCTTATTTAAAATTCTTGAGAAAGTAGTTGCCAAACAAGTGTGCGATCACTTACACAATAATGAACTTTTTGAAGAGTTTCAGTCTGGCTTTAGAGCTCATTATAGCACTGAAACAGCTCTGGTGAAAGTCACTAATGATATTCTCATGGCCTCAGATAATGGACTTGTATCTGTGCTTGTTCTGTTGGATTTCAGTGCTGCATTTGACACAGCTAATCATGATATTCTTTTAGAAAGACTTAAATATTTTGTAGGAATTAAAGGAACAGCACTAGACTGGTTTAATTCTATTCTATCTATCTGTCAGATGTTCACGATAATAACAAATCTTCCTCATGCTCCAGGGTTACTTGTGGAGAACCACAGGGATCAGTGCTAGGGTCAATTCTCTTTACTATATTTACAGTCATGTCTTGAAGACATAAAAACCTGGAAGACTCTTGACTTTCTCCTTCTGAATGCAGAGAAAACAGAAGTTATTATCTTTGGACCAAAGTCTTCTAAAAAAGAAGCGATTAGTCAGTCAATTCATTTGGATGAGATTAAACTAACTTCAGATAATAAAATAAAAAATCTTGGTTTTAGTCTCGAGCAGGACCTGTCATTAAATCCAATATCAAAGGTTTCTAGAATTTCCTTCTTTCATCTGCGGAATATTGCAAACTTTGGAAATATCCTGTCCAGGCCTGATGCTGAGAAACCAGTCCATGCATTTGTAACTTCAAGGCTGGACTATTGTAATTCTTTACTATCAGGAAGTCCACAAACTGTAGTTAAAAGCCTTCAGCTGATCCAAAATGCTGCGGCCAGAGTTCTGATGAAAATTAAAAAGAGAGATCATATCTCTCCTATCCTGGCTTCTCTTCGT